TGGCGCTTTAGAATGAAAGTTTTGAGATCTCTGTGTGGGTCTGTCTGCCTGTGTATGTCTATATATGTATGTTATGTATATGTGATATTTTCTTACCTCGAGATGGTATTGATTATTTATTTATTTAAAAATTTTAGTTCTTTAGAGACAAGGTCTCTCTCTTGCCCAGGTTGAAATGCAGTAGTACACAGCTCACTGTAGCCTTGAACTCCTGGGCTTAAATGATTCTCCTGCCTCAGCTGCTTGAATAGCTGGGCCTACAGGTACACATCATTGCACTGGGATACATTTTTGTCAGAGACTGGGTCTTGCTATGTTGCCCAGGCTGGCCTCACACTCCTGGCCTCAAGAGATCCTTCTGGCTCAGCCTCCTGAGTAGCTGGAATTACAGGTGTGAGCCACAGCACTCGGCCAAATTAATGTACAAACCCCTTGAAGGAGTTTATTCAAATTGTTTGAAGAGAAAAATGACTGTTTATATAAATGAAATGTTCCTAACACCCCCAGAAATATAGGAACTAACCAAAAGGCCTTTTGAGTTCATGTGACTTGTGATAAAATTTTGATAACTAAGATGAATTTAATATTGTTGGTTTAAGAAAAAGAGGTGCATCTCTGAGCACACATTTTTAGTCTACTTGGTTATACTAGTCAAGTAAGTTATTAGTATATTTAACACTATAAAAACTATAAATTCAACTTAAGAAAAATGCACAAATAGGCCGGGCGCGGTGGCTCAAGCCTGTAATCCCAGCACTTTGGGAGGCCGAGGCGGGTGGATCACGAGGTCAAGAGATCAAGACCATCCTGGTCAGCAAGGTGAAACCCCGTCTCTACTAAAAATACAAAAAGTTAGCTGGGCATGGTGGTGCGTGCCTGTAATCCCAGCTACTCAGGAGGCTGAGGCAGGAGAATTGCCTGAACCCAGGAGGCGGAGGTTGCGGTGAGCCGAGATCGCGCCATTGCACTCCAGCCTGGGTAACAAGAGCGAAACTCAGCCTCAAAAATAAACATACAGTAAAAATGGTTGTCTGATATGCACTATTTTACATACATTAAACACAGCAGGAAAACAAAACAAATGTATGTATTTAACTTTTCTGGTTTTCTTGATTTGCTTTTAATTGCCTTTTACTTGCATGTGCTGTAAAAATAATTAACAAGGAAATAACTTGAGATGATGGCTAGTTTTGTTCAATGCATGATGAAATTTTCATGAACAATCCAAACATAATAAATACTATATGTGTAGATCAATATAAGTGGAATGAGAGTTTTATAAATAGGCTTTTCCAAAGTTGTTTTATAGTATCTGCCTAAAAACAGTTTCCAAAATCTATTTGGTAACTTGCAACCTAACAGTCATGCTAAGTTAATATAGTTTCTAAGTAAGATAAACTACTGAAACACTCATTATCGAATATAAGTTTAAATTTACATACTTTTGGGTCTTTAATTTTATACAGAATAGAAAGACTAAATATATTTGGATCTGTTAAATACTGAAAAATTGTACATGAGGAACTCTATATATCTATAGAGTTGTGAGATGATGTATTCATAACATTTGCTAATCTGTTACACAATGCTAGTATGGAGCAGACAATTCACAACTATCTACTTTTTAGTTTACTCTCTTAAAAGGTTACTAATGGTTAAAATTATAATCACTATATCTAATTAAAACTACTAGAAATAGGCGGGGGCAGTGGCTCACACCTGTAATTCTAGCAGGTTGGAGGCTGCGGCTGATCACCTGAGGTCAGGAGTTTGAGATCAGCCTGGCCAATATGGTGAAACCCCATCTCTGCTAAAAAAAAAAAAAAAAAAAAAAAAAATATATATATATATATATATATATATATATATAAATTAGCTCGGCGTGGTGCTGCACACCTGTAATCCCAGCTATTCTTCAGGAGGCTGAGGCATGAGACTTGCTTGAACCTGAGAGTTAGAGGTTGCAATGAGCTGAGATCATGCCACTGTACTCCAGCCTGGGTGACAGAGCAAGACTCTGTCTGGAAAAAAAAGAAAGAAAAGAAAGTGCTCACTGCCACCTTCAACTCCTGGGTTCAAGCAGTTCTCCTGTCTCAGCCTCCTCAGTAGCTCTAACTGACTTCCAGATATTATGACTTCCAGACGTATTATAAAGTTACAATAATCAAAGACCAAGTGGTATTGTCAATGTGACTTAAAATATGTCCAAGGAAACAACAGATTGTCCAAAAATAGCCTGACATAAATGTGATCAATTTTCTCTATGATCATCAGAGTAATCTGGTCAACAAACACCGATGGAACAAATGGATAACCATACAGAAGAACAGATTCTCGAACTCTACCCCATATCATCAATAAAACTTAACATGAGGTGGACCACAGAACTAACCATAAAAGCAAAATGTACACAGAAAATACAGAGAACTATCCTCATCATACCTAGAAAAGAGAACTATCCTCACTATATCTAGAAAAGACAAATATTTATTTGAGAGATCAAATAATTAATTATAAAAGAAACAATGATTCACTGGACTTCTGTTCCAGTTATATTAAAAATTTCTGTTCATCAAAAGACCCATTAAAATGAATATGCAAGCCATAGACTAGGAAAAATATTTGTAATACAAACATTGAACAAAAGATTTCTATCCAGAATATGAAAGAATTTCTACTACTCAAGGAAAAATAAATAATACCTAAATAAAGAATGGATAAAACACTGGAACAGGGCTGAGCACAGTGGGTCACACCTGTAATCCCAACACTTTGGGAGGCCAAGGCAGGCGATTGCAAGGTCAGCCTGGCCAATGTGGTGAAACCTTCTCTCCACAAAAATATAAAAACATTAGCCAGGTGTGTTGGCACATGCCTGTAGTTCCTGCTACTCAGGAGGCTGAGGCAGCAGAACTGCCTGAACCTGGGAGGCGGAGGTTGCAGTGAGCCAAGATTGCACCACTGCACTCCAGCCTGGGTGATAGAGTGAGACTCAATCTCAAAACAAATAAACAAACAAATAAATAACAACAACAACAAAACACTTGAACAGGTGCCTCTGATATAAAACGCACTTGAGAAAGTCTTCAACATTATTAGCCATAAGATAAATCTAAATTAAAACTGCAAAGATATACAACCAGAATGCCAAAATGACCAGAATGGGCAAAATGAACATAAAATGTAGAAAACAATGTGGGTTAATCAAAATTCTCTTTTTCTTTTTTCTATTTTTTTTTTTTTTTTTGAGTTTCGCTCTTGTTAACCAGGCTGGAGTGCAATGGCACGATCTCGGCTCACCACAACCTCCGTCTCCTGGGTTCAGGCAATTCTCCTGCCTCAGCCTCCTGAGTAGCTGGGATTACAGGCACGTGCCACCATGCCCAGCTAATTTTTTGTACTTTCAGTAGAGAGGGGGTTTCACCATGTTGACCAGGATGGTCTCGATCTCTTGACCTCGTGATCCACCAGCCTCGGCCTCCCAAAGTGCTCGGGTTACAGGCTTGAGCCACCGCACCCGGCCCCAAAATTCTCATACAGTGCTGCTGAAAAGTCTAAAATGGCATAGTGGTTTTAGCTACTAAACTACTAAGGTAGTTTCTAAAAGAGTCAAATATGCATCTGCCTTATGAATCAGCAACATCACTGCTAAGTATTTACTGAAGAAAAATAAACATGTATGTCCACAAAAATATTTTTACAAGAATTATAGCAGCTTTGTTCATAATAGCTCTGAACTAGAAATATCCCAAATGTCTTTCAACAGGAGATGCATAAACTGGTATGTTTATATAATGGAAAACTATTCCACAGTTAACAAACTACTTATGCATGCAGAAAAATGTCTAAATCTCTCAGACATGAAGCTGAGTGAAAGAACACAGACATGAACAAGGTTTACAATAGACAAAATGAATCTATGTTTGTAGACATCACAACTGTGATTGTCCTAGTGGGAGAAACTGACTTGGAAGAGACCTGATGGAATTTAATGAGTTAATGAAATTGTCTTTTATCTTGATTGGAGTGTGAGATACATGGGTTTATACTTCCGTCAGAACTCAAAGAACTTTACACTTTAGATCTATATGTACATTACACCTACAAAACATGGACTAGATTCTTGGTAAGGCAATAATAGCCAACATTTCCATAAACACAGGCAAACGAGGAAAAGATTTGCATGGGTAGAGATATTCATACCTAAAATTTACATTTTAGAGGCATAAAAGTCAGCCATGTATAGGTACTTTACAGATCTCAGGTCTTTAAAAATACGATGGCTACTATAAAAAACATAGAAAATAACAAGTGCTGGTGAAGAAATTTGCAACAATGAGGCAGCTGCTATATAAACAGTATGGTGATTCCTTAAATATTAATCACAGAATTGCCATATTATCCAGCTAGTCCACTTCTGAGAATATACCCAAAAGAACTGAAAGCAGGGAGTAAAACTGATATTTGTACAACCACATTCATAGTAGCATTAGTCACAATAGCCAAAAGATGAAAGAAACCCGACTGACCACTGATGGATGAATGAATAAGCAAAATGTGGTATATACATACAACAGAATATTAATCAGCATTAAAAAGGAAGGAAGTGGATGAACCTGGCGGACATTATGTTAAGTAAAATAAGGCTATGTGATTCCACTTATAAGAGGTACCTAGAGTAGTCAAATTTACAGAGACAGAAAATGCAATGGTGTTTAGCAGGGCTAGGGAGCAGGGATAAAGGGAAGTTATTTTTAATGGGTACAGAGCTTCCATTCTGCAAGATGAAGAGCTCTGGAGATGGATGATGGTGATGGTGATGGTTACACAACAGTGTGAATGTATTTGATGCTACTGAACTATATGTTTAAAAAGTTTAAGATAGTATATTTGATGTTATGTGTATTTTACCCACAATAGCAAAAATAGATCCCTAAAAACATTCAAAGGCTTGAACTACTTGAAATTTAATGTTCACTAGACTTCATTTATAGACTCACCTAGGTAGCTGTAACTTGGAAAAATTCTCTGTGTCCACAGCTCCTCTCCTTGTTCCAACTTGCGGATCATATCAGGCTTAGTCATGTGAAACCCTGGTGATGAAAAGTGAGACTTGGTCTAAAGCTGTTTGACTTTTAAACTTTTGAAGATAAAGATACGACTTCAAGGTAGTAGATGAGGTATACATTAATGTCTTACTAAAGTTAATACCTTACACTACACAAGTGATGATATAATCATACTTTCTTTTCTTTTCTTTTTTTTTTTTTTTGAGATGGAGTTTCGCTCTTTACCCAGGCTGAAGTGCAATTGCGTAATCTCAGCTCACTGCAACCTCTGCCTTCCGGGTTCAAGCAATTCTCCTGTCTCGGCCTCCCAAGTAGCTGGGACTACAGGCACGCGCCACCATGCCCAGCTAATTTTTTTGTATTTTTAGTAGAGATGGGGTTTCACCATGTGACCGGGATGGTCTTGATCTCTTTACCTTGTGATCCACCCGCCTCGGCCTCCCCAAAGTGCTGGGATTATAGGTGTGAGCCACCACGCCCGGCCTTTTTTTTTTTTTTGAGATTGTCTCGTTCTGTCACCCAGGCTGGAGTGCAGTGGTGCAGTCTCGACTCACTGCAACCTCTGTCTCTCAGGTTCAAGTGATTGTCATGCTTCAGCTTCTTGAGTAGGTGGGATTACAGGCATGTGACACCACAACCAGATATTTTTTGTACTTTTTAGTAGAAACGGGGTTTCACCATGTTGGCCAGGCTGGTCTCAAACTCCTGGCCTCAAGTGATCCACCCGCCTCGGCCTCCCAAAGTGCTAGGTTTACAGGCGTGAGCCACTGAGTCCAGTGATATAATCATATTTTCTGCTAAAAAAAAAAAATGGATTCATCACTTCTAATCCCTGAAATTGAAAGTTCTATATGTTTCAGGAAATCACTGGAAGGAGATGCATGACACTGAAAGATTCGAGGAATGTTTCTTACCCACAGCTATGAAGTGGCAATAGTTTTCCAACATCACATCCCTGTAGAGGGCCTTCTGAGCAGGGTCTAGTTGTTGCCACTCTTCCTGGGTGAAGTCCACAGTAACATCCTTGAATGACACTGATCCCTGTAAGGGCATACTCTAGTTCATCCTGAAGTGATCGGAAATGGGTGAGAACTAGATGTTGGAGACCTAAGTTCTGACAATGTTTACTGGTCAGACTAGTTTCCTAATTTATGTTTTATATTGTATAAAATTCTCTCTGAAAATATATCCATCTGTATTTACTCATAATCTGATACTAAACATACTGATATCACACTATTTGTCCTGAATGTGACTGGTTGCCTGATAGACCAAAATGAATAAAACTCTGACCCTACTCATGAGAAGTTACAGGCTAAGAGAGAGGCATACATGTAAATACATGCACTTAGTAGGTTTTATAGATGCAATGACAGAAATACGTACAAGGTAAAGGATCACAAAGCAAAGAAAAATTTCATTTTGTACTCTGAGGCTTCATTGAGGACATAAAAGTTTTGTACTCACAATGAATTTGTTTTGTAGGAATACAGGGCATCAGCTTTTAAAAATTCACGGGGAGAAAAAAACCAGTTAGTAAATCAGGAAATAGCAAAAGGTACAGTATGTTAGGAAACAGTCTTTGAGTTCTAAGAAGGAAAAGATACATGGAAGTAGGCAGTGGGCATATTATGACATGATACTAGATTTTTTTTCCTACAGAGCAGTGGTCTTAAAGATGTACTGATCATATTCCCAACATTGTAGCTATTTATAAACCATCAGTAGTCATTTAGGAAAATCTACATTGTTAATGATTACTGCTCTTGAATGAATGTAAACTGTTAGTATTTTATTTCCTTCCAGTATACTATCTTGTATGTTCTACTGTGATGCATGCCCTACTTTGAGTCTGTTGCTTTAAGGAATATAAAGAACATGAATAAACAAGTTGACATACATGTTATGTGATAAAAGTTTTGAGGCAACGCTCCTGAAGACTGGGGAAGGCTTAATGTATGTTAGGTGGGAATAACAATTAAGTAATCATGGTTAGAGATGTCTCCTAGATTTAGGTAGTATCAGCAGGCTGACAGACGATAACGGCTCCTATATGACCACCATTACAACAGAGATGGTCGTAAACTGGCTGTACAGTGGAAAAGATACAGGCATGTTATTTGCATAGGCAGATGCATTGCTGCTGGGACTATAAAGTGAAAATGAGAAACAGAAGAAAATGTAGGCTGTACCAAAGGAAGTAATGAGGCAAACCTTGGAAATGTACTTTAAGTGTCTGTGGAACATACAGGTGGTGATAGCTATTTGAGGTTGATATATGGTTCTGACACTCTGTACAGAGGTCTAGAAATGGAGACGGGTATTTGAGAGTCACTAGAATCAGACTGTGTAGCCTTCAGAGTGAATCTGATTGTGCATAGAGAAAAAGAGACTCTGAAGAGAAGAGAACCAATTAGCATCTGGGGAAAACCAGTACTTTAAAGGTTGGTAGATGAGGCAACAAGGAATTTTCTTTTTCTTTTTTTTTTTTTTGAGACGGAGTTTCGCTCTTGTTACCCAGGCTGGAGTGCAGTGGCGCGATCTTGGCTCACCGCAACCTCCGCCTCCTGGGTTCAGGCAATTCTCCTGCCTCAGCCCCCTGAGTAGCTGGGATTACAGGCACACGGCCACCACGCCCAGCTAATTTTTAGTATTTTTAGTAGAGACGGGGTTTCACCATGTTGACCAGGATGGTCTCGATCTGCTGACCTCGTGATCCACCCGCCTCGGCCTCCCAAAGTGCTGGGATTACAGGCTTGAGCCACCGCGCCCGGCCTTCTTTTTTTTTTTGAGACGAAGTTTCCCTCTTGTTGCCCAGGCTGGAGTGCAATGGCACAATCTCGGCTCACCACAACCTCCACCTCCTGGGTTCAAGCAATTCTCCTGCCTCAGCCTCCCAAGTAGCTGGGATTATAGGCACGTGCCACCACGTCTGGCTAATTTTGTATTTTTAGTAGAGACGGGGTTTCTCCATGTTGGTCAGGCTGGTCTCGAACTCCCGACCTCAGGTGATCCAGCCCGCCTCGGCCTCCCAAAGTGCTGGGATTACAGGCGTGAGCCACCATGCCCGGCTAAAGAGGAATTTTCTGAAAGATATGGAAAAAGGACAAAGTACTGTTTGATCAACAAGAGAGTTTTCTAACAGTGGCCTGCCATATGCATTTCCTTCTCCTGCACCCGCATATAAAATTAGAAGAGACTAAAAAGAAAATAACAAATCTCTAACAGCACTGGAATACTGGAAAGGTTTTCACTGGCAGGCCACAATTTGGAAGAACAGCTGGCAGACATTAATAAAACAGGAAGATCAGAGAGAAGGAACGCAAAACCTGTTTCCTTTACAAGCTTGCCATCAAATTGCTATCCTAAACACCTCATAAAGCAGGACATCTTTCCACAAACTAATGCTAAGATCTGTCACTTCTATCTCCCATCGTATCATTGCAAAACTTAGGTTAGCAGAGAAAATCAAGGTTTTTTTTGTTTTTTTTTCCCATATCTGCTCTTTGACTACTTCAACTTAGATCTCAAATCAGCATCAGGACAAGTTAAATTCATTCAAGCCAGATATTCCCATTTAAATCAAGACAATACCTTTCTGTTCCAGCAGTTTGTTTGTGAGAAGACTGAGAAAGGAGATGATGAATGATGCACCCAATGAATATGTACAATTAGAAGGTGCACTTGGGGAAGGCTTACGTTGAGCTGGTTGGAATGGAGAAATTCTGAACAGGGCTGGGAATAGGGTGAGGCAGGTAAAGCACCTAGAAATGAAAATTTAGGAAGGCACAGACCTGAGGGTACCCCTTAAATATTTCACCTCATGCCACTTGCCAGCCTCATCCTAATCTGGGCCCTGACTGAAGACTAGTTTCATGGAATCAAATCCCAATATTCAGGAAGGTTAAAGGATAGGGAAGCTCATGTTCATATACCATGAAAAAAAAAAGTTATTTCAGAAAGAGGAAACGTCATCTCACCTGAGACATGGCTTTGAGATTTCTAAGAGATGAACCTTCTCTTTTGAGCTCTTCTCTTGGAAAAGGGAACAGTTCTGAGAAAGCAAAGATGGAGGATACAAGTATGTGAGACCATACTTGACCTAGAACTCCCAGAATAACTCAGTTAAATCTGCATGAACGTTCACTATTTTAGGACTTGTCTACACTGTGTACCCTTCAGATGTCCAGGATGGTGGTTAGTGGGAAAATGGACAAATCCTGCTCCTTCACAAACACGAGAAACCTAGTCTCTTGGTAAGGTAGACAGGCTTCTGGGGAACATGTTAATAGCTTCAAGACAGGGAACATCATGTTTTTCCTCTGCAGTTCTGCCTTCTATCTCCCATTAAACACAGGTTTATGGTATATTTCCAAATGGTTCTTTATGGACTTTTTTGCCAATTTACACTGATAGCAGTGCATGAGAATATCTTCCCAACCCTTGATAAAGACAGTTGACAATTTTTAAATCTTCGTATATCTGGTCTATATTGCAATTGAGAATAATCTTTTTTTTTTTTTTTTTTTTTTTTTTTTTTTTTTTGAGATAGAATCTGGCTCTATTGCCCAGGCTGGAATGCAGTGGCATGATCCTGGCTGATTGCAACCTCCGCCCCCGCAGGTTCATGTGATTCTCCTGCCTCAGACTGCCCAAGTAGCTGGGATTACAGGTGCCTGCCACCATGCCCGACTAATTTTTGTAATTTTAGTAGAGACGGCATTTCACCACGTTGGCCAGGCTGGTCTGGAACTCCTGACCTCAAGTGATCCACCTGTCTCAGCCTCCCAATGTGCTGGGATTGCAGGCTGAAAATAAGCTTCTTTTTAATAAGTTTAAAGACATTCTTTTGCTGCGACAGCATCTCCTTACAGTGTGCTCACTTTTCTCTTGGCTTTTTATTTCCTAATTAGCTGATATTATCTTCTGTTTTTTTTTTTTTTAAATGTAACAAATTGACCCTTTATTTATTTTAGGTTGATTAAAAAACTTTTCTTTTCATATGACTATTAAAGGGTCTTTGCCTTGCGAAGATATTTTTCCCCTATGTTTTGTGGTTTAGCAATACCACATATTGCATAATCCACATTTCCTCAATTGATGTGAAATGCCATCTTTATCATATATAGTATATTCCCTTTATACTTGACAGTTTCTGCCCTTTCTATTTAATTTCTCTACTTCATCTCCTTATTGAGTCACCTGTGTCACACCACTGAAGTAGTATAGTAGTACTAGTATAGTTGAAAAGCTGTTTTTTTTTTGAGACAGAGTCTCACTCTTGTTGCCCAGGCTGGAGTGCAATGGTGCAATCTTAGCTCACTGAAACCTCTGCCTCCCAGGTTCATGCGATTATCCTGCCTCAGCCTCTCAAGTAGCTAGGATCACAGGCATGTACCACCATGCCCAGCTAATTTTGTATTTTTAGTAGGACAAGGTTTCTCCATGTTGGTCAGGCTGGTCTCGAACTCCTGACCTCAGGTGATCTGCCCGCCTCAGCCTCCCAAAGGGATGGGATTACAGGGGTGAGCCACCATGCCCGGCCCACAAAATAACTATTTCAATTATTACAATGAGACAGAACTTATTAAAAAGTATCAAATACTTTTTATTAGCTTAGCATGCCTGAGGGAGTAGGAAACCTCCCTCATATAGAAGTGTTGAAAGTAGTAGGTATGTCAGGCATGGTGGCTCATGCCTGTAATCCCAACACTTTGGGAGGTCAAGGGGGTGAATCAGTTGAGTTCAGGAATTTGAGACCAGCCTGGGCAACATGGTGAAACCCCATCTCTACTAAAAATACAATGGTGGCAGGCGCCTATCATCCCAGCTACTTGGGAGGCTGAGGCAAGAGAATCGCTTGAACTCTGGAGGCAGAGGTTGCATTGAGCGGAGACCATGCCACTGCACTCCAGCCTGGGCGAAAGCAAGACTGCGTCTCAAAACAAACAAACAGCAACAACAACAACAACAACAAAAGTGGTAGTTATGGTAAAATTGGTTTCGTTTTCTTAATTTTTTTTTCCTGCATGTCCCCAGTGGAACGCTATTCTTTTCAACATATTGGTTTTCGTTAACGTGGTGTTTCCAGGTAATGAATCTTAGCATCTGGGAATTATGAAAATCACCTCTTCCCCTCTGATACTGTTACCTCTATTTTATTTGGTAAATTGCTACTTTAGTTACAAATTTGGAGGCAGGCTTGATGGCTACTACTCAGATAATCAAATCTTACATAACCAACTAGCCATGGTCATAACAGAGTTCCTCAATCATTCTAATACTTAGGTTACCAAGGACACAAAACCATCAGGTAGGTCACAAACACGTGCAGAGTCACAGTCAAACATCCTTCAGAGAACCACCAACCTACAGGCCCCACTTGTCCATTCACAACCTCAGACAGCAGCTAACACGATTCTAGGCAAAGTCTCAATCACATTCACAAATCACTTTCAATTCTCCACACGAATAGACAGTCTCAAATGCGACTCACACCTAATCTAAAAATAGACACATGCAGAGGAAACCTTGCGCAGCAACACGACTCCGGCCACTTTCCACACGCAGTCGACCGCAACATCCCAAATAGAGGCAAGCACCTAAAATGCAGCAGGTTGGGCGCAGGAAGCCACCCCTATTCGGCGCGCGCGCGCGCGCACACGCAGCGCCCGCTCCGCGCGGGAACTCGCCGCCAGCGACGGCGCTTCCGCGGGGTCAGAATGCGCAAAATCCCCCTTAGCTGAGCTCGCTCCGGGTCACCCTCAAGGTCACGCCCACGGACCACGCCCGAGGCCGGGCTAGTACAGATCGGAGCGTCTGGATACCGCGGTCCCGGTTCCCTCCTCAGAATTACCGGGCCCGACTCGGACTCTTGGTTACCTCCCTGGCCTCCCCACCCGGTTCCGCGTCCTCAGACAGCGCTTCCGGATCGGAGCTCCTAGTGCCCTCCTCGGCCTCCTCAGCACCCCTGGCACCCACCAAGCCTCACCCCCGGCCCAGGGTGAGTCGTCTGCGCCTGCGCACTCGCGCGTGGGCCTGAGCTCCCAGGAGTCTTCGGGGCGGGCAGTTAAGCGCCGAGCGCTGATTGCCACTGCGCTCCCCTCTGTTTGCACCCACGCCGGCTCTGTTCCGGTTGAGACTACACTTCCCGAGGACCCGGCTCCCTTCTCCGTTGACCTGGCAGTCGTTTTCCGTGTGATGAGTTGAGGTGACCCGGTCTGGATGCGAGGAGCTCACGACAGGGGAACCCGGGTTCCTGGGACGCGGATGGGGCTTGTGGAGGCAGAAGCCCCAGGGCTGTGTGCAGGTCACCTGCTGGGGAGGAGGAGTGTGTGATTGTGTTTGTGTGTGCGGTTCTGTAGCTGCGTTCGTGTGTGGTGTGATTGTGAGTGGGCGCGCCTGTGACGGGGCCGGGGGTGTTTGCACACGGGGGAGGCCCTGGACTGTCCCCGATTGGGCCCGCCCGACTGAGTGGGGGCGGGGCCGTTTGTGTGACGGCGCTGAACGGTGACTGTGAATGTGTCGTGCTGTGACCAGTGATCCTGTGGCAGCGATGTTGTGACCCACTGGAGACTGTGATCAGAACTGGCCCGGTGCAGCTTCTGTAGAGTTTGATTGCTGCAGTTCTGGGGCTCAGGAATACGTGGACAAGATCCCCGGGTGTCTTGATCTGTGTCTACGGAAGACTCCGAGACCTTCTGTCTAAAGCATGGCCTCTGTTGCTTTCATAATATATAATACACAGTGGCATGCAGCCTCGCCAACCCCTGGGGCCAATTTTAAGTTAACGTGGTTTCTCGGAGTTTGTTGTGCTGGGATTTCTCTCATTGCCTCAGTCATTTCACCTTCTAACCACATTGCAGTGTGCAGTCAAATGGCGATCAAAGGGGAAGTTGGATGTTAGATCCGGAATGAAGGTTCCAACTGAAAAAGCACAGCCTTGTGTTTCATACAGACAAGGCTGTGTTCTAATATACACAGCCTTGTGTTTGATATTGAGATGTTAGAGCTGGAATTGCTCAGATAGTTTTGCTCCCAAGGCAGGGTTCTGGGAAGGTATGATATTGAGGACCCAAGACTAGGATTTCTTCCTCTAAAGCTTCCCCAACCCCCAACCCTTTTATTTTGAGACAGGGTTTTGCTCTTGTTGCCCAGGCTGGAGTGCAATGGTGCGATCTCGGCTCACTGCAACCTGACTCTCAGGTTCAAGCGATTCTCCTGCCTCAGCCTCCCCAGTAGCTGGGATTACAGTTGCCTGCCACCATGCCTGGCTAATTTTTTTTTTTTTTTTTTTTTTTTTTTTTTTTGGTATTTTTAGTAGAGATGGGCTTTCACTATGCTGGCCAGGTTGATCTCGAACTCCTGATCTCAGGTGATCCACCCACCTCCGGCTCCCAAAGTTACAGGGATTACAGGGGTGAGCCACCCTGCCTGGCCTTTTTTTTTTTTTTTTTTTTTGAGATGGAGTTTTGCTCTGTCACCCAGGCTGGAGTGCAGTGGTACTATCTCAGTTCACTGTAACCTTCGCCTTCCAGGTTCAGGTGATTCTCCTGCCTCAGCCTCCAGAATAGCTGGGACTATAGGCACATGTCACCACATCCAGCTAATTTTTGTATTTTTAGTAGAGATGGGGTTTCATTCACCATGTTGGCCAGGCTGGATTCAAACTCCTGACCTTAGGTGATCCACCCACCTCGGCCTCCCAAAGTACTGGGGTTACAGACAGGCATGAGCCACCATGCCCAGCCAAGGTTTTATCAATTTTGTTGCTTTTTTCAGAGAATTCACCTTTAGTTTGGCTAACTATATATCTCTTTCATTTATTTTTTTCTCTCATTATTTCCTTTCTTCGTTTTTAAAAATTGTGGCAAAGTATACATGTATGTAAACTTCACCATCTTAACTATTTTTGAGTGTACAGCTCAGTAGCATTAAGTATATTCCCATTTTTATATAACCAACGTCCACAATTTTGTCATCCTATAAATGTGAAACTATATCCATCAAACAACTACCCTTTTCCGCTGCCTCCAGCCCCTGGCAACCACCACAAGAAACCTACAAGCTCTCTCACTACAAGCGTTAATAGCAAAAAAGTGGGAGACCAGTAATACTTTGTGATTTTATAAGCTGGACTACTCTAGATACCTCATATCAGTGAAATCATAAGTAGTTATCTTTTGTGATTGGCTTGTTAGAATAATATCCTCAAGGTTCAGCCACATTGTAGCATATGTCAAAATTTCCTTCCAAGGCTGAATATTACATTGTATATGCATGTATATGCCACATGTATTAATACATGTATATGCCACATGCATTAAGTCTGTTTTGTGTTGCTATAAAGGAATACCTGAGGCTGGGTAATTTATAAAGAAAAATGGTTTATTTAGCTCATGGTTCTGTAGGCTGTACAAGAAGCATAGTGCCAGGCAGCATCTGTTCCTGGTGAAGCCTCAAGAAGCTTATAATTATGGCACAAAGCAAAGGGAGAGCTAGCATATCACATGGCAAAAGGTAACAGGAGGTGCCAGGCTCCTTTAAACAACTAGCTATAGGGTGAACTCATATCCATGGGGAGGACACCAAGCCATTCATGAGATCCACTCCTATAATCCAACACCTCCCACTAGGTGCCACCTCCAACACTGGGGGTCACATGTCCACATGAGATTTTGAGGGAACAAATATTTCAAGTCATATTACCACATTTTGTTTATCCATTTGTCCATTGATGGACATGTGGGTTGCATCTATTTCTTGGCTATTGTGAATAATGCTGCTATGAATTTCCTGTTTTTTAATTTAAGTACTTAACATCCCTCTCAACCCTGCTTTAGCTGTATCCTTCCCATTTTGATATGTTGTGCTGTCATTTTTTCATAGTTCAAAACATTTCTACGTATTTATTCAATGATCTGTAGATTTAAAAGTTGTTATTTAATTTCCATGTATTGAGGGATTATATGGGTTTCTTATTACTGGTTTCTCACTTACATTCCCTATAACATGGCAATCTTTTGAAGTTTATTGTGACTTATCTTATAGTCCAGCCTATAGTCTATTGTGGGGGCTGTTCATGTACATGAATAGAATGTAATTTTTCAATTTTTGGTATGGTGTTCTTCAAAGAACAATTAGGTCATGTTGACTGGTGTAGTTGCTGTCTTCTATACAGTTGTCCCTTGCTATCCACAGGGTACTGGTTCCAGGACACCTTGTGGATACCAAAACCTGCAGATGCTCAAGTCTGTTACATAAAATGGTGCAGTATTTGCATATAACCTATGCACATTCTTCTGTACACTTTAAATCATCTCTAGATTTTTTAATAATACCTAATAAAATATAAATGCTGTGTAAATAATTGTCATACTGTATTTTAAACTTTGTATTATATTTTAGTATCATTGTGTTTTTTCCTGAATATTTGTGCATTGCTATTGGTTGAATCTGCATATATGAAGAGCTCATTATATATGCTATTGAATTTGACTACAATGCTATCAATTACTGAAATATAATTGTAGATTTCCAATTACGCTTGCGGATCTATTTCTTTTGTTCTGTTAGTGTCTGCTTCATTAAATTTAACACTCTCATTATTGGTTCATAACAGCGTACATATTCCTGATGAACACATAGAGTCATGTGCCACATAACAACATTTTAGTCAATGATGGACACATAGACAATGGTGGTCCCATAAGATTACAATGGAGCTAAAAAATTCCTGTCACTTACAGACACTGTCATGCAACATATCACTCACGTGTTTGTGGTGATGCTGGTGTAAACCTACTGTGTTTCCAGTTGTATAAAAGTATAGCACATACAATTATGTATAGTACATAATAGGTAATAATAAATGATTACTAGTTTATATATTTATTGTACTATTTGTATTATTATTTTAGACTGTACTCCTTCTAATTATTTAAAAAAAAAAAGGGTAACCTCAGCCAAATCCTTCAGGAGGCATTGTTTTCATGGGAAATGATCACTTCATACATATTATTGACCCTGAAGACATTCCAGTGGGACAAGATGTGGAGGTAAAACACAGTGATATGGATACTGTTGACCCTATGTAGGCCCAGGCTAAAGTGTGTGTCTTTGTTTTTAATAAAAAAGTTTAAAAATAAACATTTTTAAAATAAAACATTTTTAAATAGAAAAAAGCCTATAGAATAAGGACATAAATATTTTTGTGTTGCTATGTAATGTGTGTTTGAAGTATTATTCAAGTAATAAAGATAAAAAATAGCAAGTTTATAATGTAAAAATATTACAGGAAGCTAAGGTTAATTTTTTATTGAATAAAGAAAACTTTAAAAAATAAATTTAGTAAAGCCTAAGTACTGCTTGTAAAGTTTATAGTAGTGGACAGTAATGTCCTATTCCTTAGCATTCTCACAGCTCACTCACTGACTCACCCAGAGCTTCAGTCCTGCAAGCTCCATGCATGGCAAGTATCTTACACAGGTGTGCCATTTTAAAATATTTTAGTCAGTATTTTTACTGTACGTTTTCTATGTTTAGAAACACAAATACCACTGTTCTATAAATGCCTATAGCATTCAATACAGTAATACGCTATACAGGTTTGTAGCCTACGAGCAATAGACTATATACCATATAACCCAGGTATGTAGGCTACCCCACTTCTGTTTGTGTCAGTGTACCCTGTGATGCTTGCATGATGCAATCACCTAATGACACATTTTTCAGAATGTATCCCTGTAGTTAAGTCACAAATGTATATGCAAATTCCCAATCACCTGCTCTTTTATGATTGTTACTTCGTTATCTCCTGCTGTATACATTGTTTTGAAGTCTATTATCAGATATTACTATTGCTACGTCAACTTTGTTATACTTAATGTACATCTTTTTCTTTTTTTTTTGAGACGGAGTTTCGCTCTTGTTACCCAGGCTGGAGTGCAATGGCGCGATCTCGGCTCACCGCAACCTCCGCCCCTGGGTTCAGGCAATTCTCCTGCCTCAGCCTCCTGAGTAGCTGGGATTACAGGCACGTGCCACCATGCCCAGCTAATTTTTTGTATTTTTAGTAGAGACGGGGTTTCACCATGTTGACCGGGATGGTCTCGATCTCTTGACCTCGTGATCCACCCGCCTCGGCCTCCCAAAGTGCTGGGATTACAGGCTTGAGCCACCGCGCCCGGCCTGTACATCTTTTTCTTGACCAATTTTAAGTAGATGAAATCTCACAGACATTAGGGTAAACTGAAAGAGAAATGTGGAATTCTGGAACTGACAATTACACAACTGACTGGAAAGGACACCAGCAAACTTTCCGGTGGTGCTGGTGCTGTAAACCAAAAATAAAATCCTAAGCATCCCCCAGGCCATCTGAATGGACCCCTCCCCTTGGCCAGGGCATTCCTAACCTGAAAAACTAGTAAAGCCATGATGGAAAGGCGGGAGTGGGTGGGTCAGACATGCCTTATTATACCCTCCCTCATTTTGGAATTACTGATAGAAAAGACTCCAAGTCTGAAAAGAAACACAATCTATTCTCTGTGAAGCTTGCTATCTGGAGGCTTCACATGCAAGATGAAATCTCGGTCTGCACAACCCCCTATCTTAACCCAGACATTCCTAAGTCTTTAGTCAATAACTCTTTCAACCTATTGCCAATCAAATAATCTTTGAATCTACCTATGACCTGGAAGGCCACCCACCTTCCAGTTTCCCGCCTTTCCGGAGGGAATCAATGTACATTCTGCGTGTATTTAATTAGTGTCTCATGTTTCCCTAAAAGGTATAAAACCACATATATCGCAACTACCCTGGGCACAGGTTCTCAGATCTCCTGAGGGCTGTGGCACCTGCCACTGGTCACTCATATTTAGCTCAGAATAAATCTTTTGAAATATTTTAGAGTTTGAGTCTTTTCAACAGTGTAAAACACGCACTAGGGCGGGGACACACACACACACACACACACACACACACACACACACACACACACACTGAGCGCCCGCTACCTGCCAGATTCCATTCTGGAGCTTTCTTATGGTGCAAAACGGACAAAAACTCCCAGTCGCCCTCAGGTTCACGATCACGGATCACAGAGTGGAGCAAAACCTTGCCCGACCCAGGATCCGAGTTCTCAGCTCGACCCTCCCCAGCCGAAAGCTGGTACTCGCTTCAGGCCTTCCCAGCCCTGCCCTCCGATTTCTTCTTCGGCCTCCCTCAGCCTGGAGTCCGGGTTTTCTCCCCGGCTGAGCACCTAGGTCGGCGACTCCCTTTTACCCTCCCCGGTCCGGGCTTCTGGTTCCAGAAGTGGAGCGGGGGCCACCCAAACTTCCGGGGCTCCCCAACGGCCAGCCTCGGCCCAGCTTCCTGTTCCCCATTCCGCCCTCCCCAGCCCGGGTTCTCGATTACTTCCTAGACTTCACCTTGCAGTCGGGGACCACCAGCTGCCTCTCCCGCGCCTGAAGACGCGCAGCGGCAGCCGCCGCCGAAGACAAGGGTCTGCGCACTCGGAAACGACAGAGGTCTGCGGCGTGGTGCGGCCCCTGCAGCCAGCCGGCTCCGCTTGAGCATCAGGCCGCTTTCGTTGCTGGACTACGTTTCCCACAGGCTCCAGGGCCGCGATGAACTTCGACCTTTGCTTCCCTTTCCGGTGGTGTCGTGGTTTTTGAGTTAAGCCTGGTGAGTCGAGGTGACCTGGGCCGGGATGCGGGAGGAGCTCGCGGCGAAGTGGCCCGGTGCAGCCGGGCGAGGTCGGTCCACGTGGAGCTGGGAGCCTCAGGCTTCTGTACACAGAGCTGCAGACGATGGTTGTTGGTGCTGTTATTTGTTACGGCGTCATTGTGGGGTGTGTGTGTGTGCGTGCGCCGTGGCTTCGGTTTGATCTGGCTTATAGGATGGTGAGTAGGGGCGGGGTCTACCGTGTGACAGCACCGTTGTGACCAACTATAAATGTGAACGGGGTGGGGGGTTTTGTTTTTGTTTCTCCATGAGCCTGTAGGAGTTTGTTTTGGGTACAACATCATTTTTCCGACACTGTCTGTGATGTAATCTCTTCATGAGGTCTTAGACACACACACACATGCATATATATAGATAGATATAGATTAGATAGATTACATAGATAGATTAGATAGATAAATGAAGTTGAAGTTTCCTGGGAAGAGATGAGGGGGGAGGCATAGGTGTAGTATTCATTCCTGGGATAACTCCCCTTGCATGCATTTGGAGGTCATTTATACATTAAAGAACTACATAAAGTATTTCCTGAGCTGTGTCCTCTAGAAACTTATGTGAACTTACTTCTGTGAACTTAAGAGTACAGCTGTAGGTATTGGTCGTACCTCTTTCTCTGACACCGGGAGGAGTCAACAGTATTCTAGTTTCCCTCTTCGATCTGGGTGTGTTTGTTGTATGTGGATCTTTTCTGGTGGTGAACAATGTGTTCTTATTTTAACTAGTCCAGGATGTCATGACCCCTTTCTCCCTCTTGGTTATGTAGTTCTGGAAGTGAAGGCCCCCTGAAGTGGAAGACAGCATTGGTACTTATTAATAATGGCCAACTCAAGGTTAGTTTTTTTGTTATGTCAGATACATTTTCTTTCCTGCCTTTCTTCCACCTTCCCTCCCTCCCCCCACCTTGTCTTTCACAGAACATAGACTCCTTTCCTTCTCCAAAATTGTCCTGTCTAATTGTGACCTGTTGGTGTACTTGGTCCCTTAGCCGTCCCTTCCCAATGAACAAGACCGTAGAGTTGGGTCCCCTTGTCCTCCAGTGCCTTTCCAATGCCCATTTCTCTTTCATTGAATGAATATTCACATACCTATTAGATAAATCATTCAATTCCCCTATGTGCTCTTTTTTTCCCAAGGGATTCTTACGTTATAGAAATCCAACTCCTGGAGAAGTTAAATATTTTTTTAAGAATGTAATTTGTTGAGGAGGAGATGAGTGATTACATAGAATAGCACACTGGATACCTTTGATCTTATTTACAGACTTGATTTGCAAACAAAGCAAGATAGGAGATGGTAGATAGCAATCAGTAAGTGACAAAGTTGGCTTTGGAGACATTTGGAGACTTGTAAATTAACTCTCTAGGTAAGGAGAGCCCCAGTGTGAAGAGTGTGCAGATTTCTATGGTATAAACACAACCACCATGATCTTTTTCAAGCTTCCAAGCATGAGGTCAATGAATACAAGAGCTGGGGAGAGATGGTACAATCAGCTGGTGTGAGCTGGCTTAAGTCAGCCGCAACACAGCTCTGCTGAGCCTGACTTTAATTGGGCATGTACTTTGTGCCAATAACTTGACATGCATGAACTCATTTAATACACACAGCAACTCTATAAGGCAGGAACTGTTATTATTGAGGCTTTAAAGGGATTAGTTCCTTGCCGAAGTAGCAGGGCCAGAATTTGAATAGTTTTGTGCAGAGAAGGCTATGTCAACAAGGGCAGGGAATTTTTCCAGAATATTCATGAGATTTAAGTGGTGACAACCAAATCTTGTTTGATTGGCGGTGTGACTGATTTAGACAACATATTGGTGTAGATTGTAAGAGGCTACCTGATACAGTGGTATTTGAGTCTAAAGCAGCACAGTCTAATGCAAATATAATATAAAGCCACTGAGGCAATATAAAAATTTCCATTAGACACATCTTAAAAAGGAAAAGAAATAGATGAAATTAATTTTGGTAATGTATTTAATTTAAACCAATATGCTCAAAATATTATTTCAACATGTAATGATGTAAATACACTGAAATACTTCACACTCATATCTTTATACCATTTTCAAAATCTGGTATATGTTTTATTGTAATTGCATATCTCAATTTGGATGCTAAATTTTCAGTGTTAAAGGTGAATTATAGTCCTACCAAAACAATAAAGTTGTGTTTAATGGAAAAACTTTTATATTACTTTTGTATTTAAATTTAAATTTAAATTAAATGTAATCCTGTGTCAATTTGCTTAGAAAAAAAAATTTTTAATTCAGCTGTTTGTTCACACTACATTTTCAAAGGGATTAGTAGTTACTCATTTTTCTGCTTTACAGTTTCTTGTTGTAGAATGTAGACAATAATTATATCAATGGCCTTAGGATCTTGTGGGCCTGGATACATTAATACAGACATAACTCTAGAGAATTTAATAAAGCCCTGGCACTTTAAGTCCTTATCTGCAAGGGAAGGAAAAAAGCTGGTTTGTGAAGATTCCTGGTATTCCCCATACATTTTCTATAAATCAAGAGCAATGAAAAAATAAAGTTAATTTTTATGGGCACTTGAAATGAGTTTTTAAAAGCCAGATTTGCAAATGTTCTATTAACTTAAGGCAGTTTAACTGTCTTCGGTTCAATGATTTGCTAGAAGGACTCACAGAACTCGGAAAAGCTGTTATGCTCATGCTTATTGTTCATTTAAATGAAAAGGTACACATTAAAATCAGCAAAGGGAAAAGTTGCATAAGGCAAGGACTGGGAGAAACCTCCAGTGCAGTTGCACAGGCAGCACTTAATTCTCTCAGCAACAATAAGCAACTACAAATGTGAAATGTGGCCAACTAGGGAAGCTCTCCTAAGCCATGGTTTCCAGGGCTTTTTGTTTTGCTTTGTTTTCTTGTGTGTGTGCATGTGTGTGTGTGTGTTTTTTTTGTTTTTTTGTTTTTTTGAGATAGGGTCTTGCTCTCTCACCCAGGCTGAAATGCAGTGGTATGGTCACAGCTAACCACAGCCTCTACTTCCCAGGCCCAGGTGATCCTCCCACCATAGTCTCCTGAGTAGCTGGAACTACAGGCACACACCACAACACCTGGCTAATTTTTGTATTATCTGTATAGATGGGGTTTTGCCATGTTGTCCAGGCTGGTCTTAAAACCTGGGCTCAAGTGATCCACCTGCCTCAGCCTCCCAAAGTGTTGGGATTACAGGCCTGTGTCCAGGGTTTTTACTGAGGATCAGTCATGTGGGCATGGAGGTTCTGTGCACCGACCTTAGCTACTTAGTCAAGCCTATCCAGAAGTCAGATTGATACAGGTATTTACCATAAACCACATTGTTAACATAAACTACCTGGCATGGCTAAGACCTTAGATGTACAGAGACTCTATTATCAGGCAGGATACTCTAAGTGCTCAGAGATTATCTCCCAGGAGCTGGTCAAGGACCATTTCTTCTTTGGAATGTGCAAGGTTTGAGCACTCTGGGCCAATTTTTTCTTTTCTTTTTTTTTTTTTTTTGCGATGAAGTCTTACCCTTCAGCCCAGGCTAGAGTGCAGTGGTGTGATCTTGGCTCACTGCAACCTCCACCTCCCGGTCTCAAGCAATTCTCATGTCTCAGCCTCCCAAGTAGCTGGGACTATAGGTATGCACCATCATACCCAGCTACTTTTTGTATTTTTTTTTAAGTAGAGATAGAGTTTCACCATGTTGGCCAGGCTAGTCTGAAACTCCTGGCCTTGTGTAATCCACCTGCCTCAGCCTCCCTAAGTGCTGGGATTACAGGCACTAGCCACCACACCCAGCTGGTTTTTAAAAACATAATTTATTTCTCTTTGTTGATAGCTCACTTATTTATATGTCGTCTTCCTGATTTCCTTTTTAATTCTTGCTCTGTTTTCCTTTAGCTCTGTGAACATATTTAAGATGATGTTTACAAAGTTTTTCCTAGTTATTCCAATGCTTTTATTTCTTCAAGGGTGTTTTGTTTTGCTCCTTTGATTGGACCATGTTTTCCTGTTTCTTTTTGAGATAGGGTCTCTCTCTCTTGCCCAGCTTTGCAGTCTTTTTTTTTTTTTTTTTTTTTTTTTTTTTTTGAGACGGAGTCTCACTCTGTCCCCCAGGCTGGAGTGCAGTGGCTCGATCTCTGCTCTGCCACTGCAACCTTCACCTCCCAGGTTGAAGCAATTGTGCCTCACCCTCCCAAGTAGCTGGGATTACAGGCCCGCACCACCAAGCCCGCCTAATTTTTATATTTTTAGTAGAGATGGGATTTCACCGTGTTGGCCAGGCTGGTCTCAAACTCCCTACCTCAGGTGATCCACCCACTTTGGCCTCCCAAAATGCTGGGATTACAGGCGTGAGCCACACCATGCCTGGCCCAGCCTTGCAGTCTTTTGTTGAAAACTGGGCATTTGAAGAAATAGCTACTTCTCTTAATTTTTGCAGACTGTTCGAGAAGATCTTCACTAATTAAGGCCTTGGGATCATCTCAGGGTGAAAGCCTAAGCTCTTATGTTTTTCCTGGGTCTGTAGTGTGCCTTTATCTGTACCTGTGTATGTGCTTTTACCAATTTCCCCAATATGCATAGCTGCTTTCAAATGCCCTAATTTCCATAGGGTCTCACCGTTGCTTCTTAGGCTCTAGATGTTATATAGCATTTTTCTACCTGTAATCATTTGCTCCAAGTATCCACAGGTGTGCAGGCAATTAAAATATCTTGAGTTTTGCATATCGATCTTATATCCTGCAATCCTGGGGATATAAGATCCTTGCTGCTGCACTTATTTCTAGTTTCAATAGTATTTTAGCTTTGATGCACCACAGTGCTCACCACTGTCCTTTGTGGACTCTACCTGCCTGAGATCTGAGCTATGCAGCTTTTCACATGTCGAAACTCAAAAGTCAAAGTGGCTCACGCCTGTAATCTCAGCACTGTGGGAGGCCAAGGCAGGCAGATCACTTGAGGTCAGGAGTTCAAAACCAGCCTGGCCAACACGGTGAAACCCCGTTTCTATTAAAAATACAAAAATTTGCCAGGTGTGGTAGCGGGCGCCTGAAATCGCAGCTACACAAGAGGCTGAGGCAGGAGAATTGCTTGAACCTGGGAGGCGGAGGTTGCAGTGAGCTGAGATCATGCCACTGCACTCCATCCTGGATGAAAGAGCAAGACTCGCGATCTCAAAAAAAAAAAAAAAGGTCAGACAAAACAGAAACCAGTACCTCAATAACTCAAGGAGCCCACGGATAGATTAGCATGTTGCAAATAAGCTCTGCTTTGTTCTTTCTGGCCTGAAGGAGGGAAATGGGAACTGAGCTGCTGCTTGGCTGCACTAGAGATGGAAGAGCATAAGTAAAATAATCAACAAATTACCATTTTTAATGTGGCTTTCTCTTGACTGGGGCATTTGATAAGTTACAGTCTTTGAGTGATTTCCAGACCCTTATAAAGATATTTTAGCTAGTCTCTAGTTGTTTTTTAAATGTTTCAATAGAGAATAGGGAATTGAAGCTTTCTCAGCTGCCATTGCACTGATGTTATTCTCATGGTTCTGTTATTTTCCTGATGTCTAATCATTTTGAGCATCTTTCTATATACTCGTTGGTCATTTGTACATCTTGTATGAAGAGATGTCTGCTGAAGTCTTTGGACAGTTTTTTTTTTTTGAGACGGAGTTTCGCTCTTGTTACCCAGGCTGGAGTGCAATGGCGCGATCTCGGCTCACTGCAGCCTCTGCCTCCTGGGTTCAAGCAATTCTCCTGCCTCAGCCTCCTTAGCAGCTGAGATTACAGGCACGTGCCACCATGCCCAGCTAATTTTTTGTATTTTTAGTAGAGACGG